TTGGTGACTGTAGAGCACACTTACTACCTATATAGATAAGTTGTTGACTGTAGAGCACACTTACTACCTATATAGATAAGTTGTTGACTGTAGAGCACACTTACTACCTATATAGATAAGTTGTTGACTGTAGAGCACACTTACTACCTATATAGATAAGTTGTTGACTGTAGAGCACACTTACTACCTATATAGATAAGTTGTTGACTGTAGAGCACACTTACTACCTATATAGATAAGTTGTTGACTGTAGAGCACACTTACTACCTATATAGATAAGTTGTTGACTGTAGAGCACACTTACTACCTATATAGATAAGTTGTTGACTGTAGAGCACACTTACTACCTATATAGATAAGTTGTTGACTGTAGAGCACACTTACTACCTATATAGATAAGTTGTTGACTGTAGAGCACACTTACTACCTATATAGATAAGTTGTTGACTGTAGAGCACACTTACTACCTATATAGATAAGTTGTTGACTGTAGAGCACACTTACTACCTATATAGATAAGTTGTTGACTGTAGAGCACACTTACTACCTATATAGATAAGTTGTTGACTGTAGAGCACACTTACTACCTATATAGATAAGTTGTTGACTGTAGAGCACACTTACTACCTATATAGATAAGTTGTTGACTGTAGAGCACACTTACTACCTATATAGATAAGTTGTTGACTGTAGAGCACACTTACTACCTATATAGATAAGTTGTTGACTGTAGAGCACACTTACTACCTATATAGATAAGTTGTTGACTGTAGAGCACACTTACTACCTATATAGATAAGTTGTTGACTGTAGAGCACACTTACTACCTATATAGATAAGTTGTTGACTGTAGAGCACACTTACTACCTATATAGATAAGTTGTTGACTGTAGAGCACACTTACTACCTATATAGATAAGTTGTTGACTGTAGAGCACACTTACTACCTATATAGATAAGTTGTTGACTGTAGAGCACACTTACTACCTATATAGATAAGTTGTTGACTGTAGAGCACACTTACTACCTATATAGATAAGTTGTTGACTGTAGAGCACACTTACTACCTATATAGATAAGTTGTTGACTGTAGAGCACACTTACTACCTATATAGATAAGTTGTTGACTGTAGAGCACACTTACTACCTATATAGATAAGTTGTTGACTGTAGAGCACACTTACTACCTATATAGATAAGTTGTTGACTGTAGAGCACACTTACTACCTATATAGATAAGTTGTTGACTGTAGAGCACACTTACTACCTATATAGATAAGTTGTTGACTGTATAGAGCACACTTACTTACTATATAGATAAGTTGTTGACTGTATAGAGCACACTTACTACCTATATAGATAAGCTTTTAACTGTGCTCTACCTATATCTATTTCAGACTTATACAGATTATTAGTTGATCTGAAGTCGTTAGTGCAGCGTCTGTTACAGGTTCTATATTTATCCTCAATATCACTTACAGGATATGATTTTTTACCTGTTTTTCAGCGTATTTAAACAATAACTGGTTGTCTGGATGTAATTATTGTTGATATAATTACAAGTGGCCTCAGGCAAATCTACCATAAAACCCGCTATTTTTTATATTTACATATTTTTCTTTTTTAAGACATTTTATTTGTAATAAAACCATTTGCCCTGCCTCAAAATACATTTCAGGCGGCCATTTTGTTTGTTTACATATTCCTACACCTGAAACAGGCAGTTGTAATTATAGTCGAGCAGTTGTAATTATAGCCTATATAATTACACTTGCCCTCTAACACTGTTGTAATGGGATGGCGTGGGGGTAAATGTAAATATACATATATAGTTGTGTAAGAAGTCATGTAATATGACTTCATGAAATGATAAAGAAATGCTGTCATAGATGTTCACATTGTATTATGACGTTACACTGGAGACAACAGATAAACTGGAATTTAAGACTTGATTTAAGAATGACCAGCTGGACAAGCATGTTTCACAATACCGACTTGAACTCTTGATTAACTGCCAAAACAGATCTTAATCAAATGTTTCCATTTTATATCAGATTAATGAAACTTATCACAAAAGTAAAGTTTTGGTAAAGCTCACCAGAGGCTTGCTCAATTGAAAAATTCTTCAGATTTGTTTCACAAATCTCCACGAAATGGAACTACATGTAGCATCCTATATATCAGTGATGTTAATATACTACGAAATGGAAGTACATGTAGCATCCTATATATCAGTGATGTTAATATACTACGAAATGGAAGTACATGTAACATCCTATATATCAGTGATGTTAATATACTACGAAATGGAAGTACATGTAACATCCTATATATCAGTGATGTTAATATACTACGAAATGGAAGTACATGTAACATCCTATATATCAGTGATGTTAATATACTACGAAATGGAAGTACATGTAACATCCTATATATCAGTGATGTTAATATACTACGAAATGGAAGTACATGTAACATCCTATATATCAGTGATGTTAATATACTACGAAATGGAAGTACATGTAACATCCTATATATCAGTGATGTTAATATACTACGAAATGGAAGTACATGTAACATCCTATATATCAGTGATGTTAATATACTACGAAATGGAAGTACATGTAACATCCTATATATCAGTGATGTTAATATACTACGAAATGGAAGTACATGTAACATCCTATATATCAGTGATGTTAATATACTACGAAATGGAAGTACATGTAACATCCTATATATCAGTGATGTTAATATACTACGAAATGGAAGTACATGTAGCATCCTATATATCAGTGATGTTAATATACTACGAAATGGACCTACATGTAACATCCTATATATCAGTGATGTTAATATACTTTGTTGGATATGAGTACAACACTTTGATTCTGAGTACACAACATTGGATTTGAGTATTACACTGATTTGATACATTGGATTGAGCACAACACCAAGTTTTATTACTTTAGATTTGAGTATTACCTTAGTACATAGATGTTATACATTAGATTGAGCGCAACACCAAGTTTTATTACTTTAGATTTGAGTAATACACAGATTTAATACATTGGATTGAGCGCAACATCAAGTTTTATTACTTTAGTTTTGAGTATTACCTTGGTACACAGATCTAACACATTGGATTGGGCACAACACCAAGTTTTATTCCTTTTGAGTATTACAGTTTGATTATTTATACAGCAGTTGTAATTTTCACAATTAACTTTCAAAATAGTGCTAGAGACAGATGTTACATTCTCTGGGAATAGAACTCAAATAACAAATAACAAGTAATCTGAATTTGCAAAATAAATGAATAGAGTATATTTGTATATCTTGTTAAAACGTTTTTGAGTAATGATTTGCTACATATGAGTTGGCTTTACAATTGATGATGACCATGTTGTGTGATGAAATGTATGTGACGTCCAGTATAGTTTAATGTTTGCATGTTGCTTTATTCAGCTTGTGTGAAATTTCTTGCAATTTTCTAAAACTTACTTAATATTTTTTCTTAATTTCTAGAAATGGTATCAAAAACCTGTTTTTTAATTCAGGTTACACATGGGAATATGATAAAAAATCGTAAAAAAAGAAGTTGGGGCTCCACGGTAGAATGGACAGAAAAAATTGTTCTTGTCTAATTATTTTATATAAAGTTTTCTACTTATTTGCAATTGTATATGGAATATAACTATTTTGTGACAAAACACCTACAGGGAACTTGATTTCAATGTTTGTGGTTTCATTGTTATATATATTCTAAACGCATTGTACTGGTGATGGGAGTTCACAGGCTGAACATCAATTAACACTTAACTTTAGCACCACTTAACAAAAATAAAAGGTACTTCAAGTTTAACTTCTTTGATACTTCAAATATAATGAATTCTAAATTGTTGATTTGTGAATCACTTCCCTTTCCATCATAAACATATATTTAGCTTGGTTTACAAGGAGGGGCAATAACAAATTCTATAGCTGTGGCGATTTCTTAATAAGAACAAATCCATGATTTTTAGGCAAGAGAAACCTTTAAAAGCCGGAACATCAGTTTCACATGAATTGAGTGATTTTCAGAACATTTAATTTTAATACAAAATGTGAATAGAGCTTCCTAGAAGGATTCTAAACTGCCCCTTTCCACAAGGGTATAGGTTGACAGCTTCCTAAAAGGATTCCATACTGGTCCTTTCCACAAGGGTATAGGTTGACAGCTTCCTAGAAGGATTCTAAACTGCCCCTTTCCACAAGGGTATAGGTTGACAGCTTCCTAAAAGGATTCCATACTGGTCCTTTCCACAAGGGTATAGGTTGACAGCTTCCTAAAAGGATTCCATACTGGCCCTTTCCACAAGGGTATAGGTTGACAGCTTCCTAAAAGGATTCCATACTGGCCCTTTCCACAAGGGTATAGGTTGACAGCTTCCTAAAAGGATTCCATACTGGCCCTTTCCACAAGGGTATAGGTTGACAGCTTCCTAAAAGGATTCCATACTGGCCCTTTCCACAAGGGTATAGGTTGACAGCTTCCTAAAAGGATTCCATACTGGCCCTTTCCACAAGGGTATAGGTTGACAGCTTCCTAAAAGGATTCCATACTGGCCCTTTCCACAAGGGTATAGGTTGACAGCTTCCTAAAAGGATTCCATACTGGCCCTTTCCACAAGGGTATAGGTTGACAGCTTCCTAAAAGGATTCCATACTGGCCCTTTCCACAAGGGTATAGGTTGACAGCTTCCTAAAAGGATTCCATACTGGCCCTTTCCACAAGGGTATAGGTTGACAGCTTCCTAAAAGGATTCCATACTGGCCCTTTCCACAAGGGTATAGGTTGACAGCTTCCTAAAAGGATTCCATACTGGCCCTTTCCACAAGGGTATAGGTTGACAGCTTTTGGTAAGCTTTCACATGTACAATGTTTTGTAATTTCTGGTTCAAATATGTGACAAATAATGACAACATATTGACTGTGTGTTTTGTTTTTCAAATTTTAGCCACTTCGAGGCCGGCGTCAGCATTCCATGGATAATCATCATGTGGACGAGGGTTACCTGAGACACCATATCGACCATCGAAACCGTACCAGGAGACAGGATGCTGATGCGGACGTCTGCTTCCACTGCCTTAGAAATGCTCTACACTGCTACAACATTGTCATACTTGTAAGTGTAAACCCATCGTGTCCTACTTGTAAGTGTAAACCCATCGTGTCCTACTTGTAAGTGTAAACCCATCGTGTCATACTCGTAAGTGTAAACCCATCGTGTCATACTTGTAAGTGTAAACCCATTGTGACTCGCGAACAGTTGTTTAAAACATGATCAGCTGCAGGAAAAATTGAACGGAGAAAGTTCAATTTAACTATTTTAAAAATATTGAAATTCCAAACAAAAATAACATTTGTAGAGATTCAAACTGTTTATTCCACTTCATTTAACCACCTGGTTGTCCCAGTGTCTTCCCAGAACAAGGAAGTGATGTGTAAAACTGTATTTGATTTCTGTTTCTATCTAAACACACGTCATGAATTAACAGTGAATATGAAACATAGAGGACCCTTTTTCAGGACTTAGTTAGAAAATGGGAAAAATTTCAAACTCATTTTTCCACGGATGACTTAAGTAAAATGTCAGCTAAGAATTGTGATGACTGGTTGGATATGTTTTAGAATTTAGATATATTGGGTTTCACTGGCCCTATCAATATGATCCTTCTTGAAGGCTGACCACGGCTCAAGACTTAACCCCTCCTCCAGACTAAACCCTTTTCAAGACTGACCCCTCCTTAAGGCTGAACCCTCTTCAAGGTTGACCCATCAAGACTGATCTAACCCTTCCTTTGACCGACTCCTCATCAAACTATGTCTTCCCTAAACTCGCCACTCCCCAAGTTAGCCTCTCTATAAACTCGTCATACTTTCACATGTAATATTACTACATGAAGGAACAGGTAAATACTAAGTAAATATAGACACAGCACCAGGTGATAGATAAGGCAGGGTAGAGGTTACTTAGTGCTGTTGATCTAAAACTTTCTGATGAAATTCTGTAAATGCAGTGACTAACAAGGTGGTAACCTTACATTTCCACATCCTGAAATGTCCTTAGCTGTTAATAGGATGTTAAACAAAAATAAAACCAAACCTTACATTTTGTTAAAAGACGGGTTTATGTTTTGTAAGACAGCAATAATAATAAGCCTTTATTATTGGACTTTATTTAAAACAGTATTATTTTTGTTATACTGTTACATGTAGAAATGTATACCTTTCCAACTACTTCAAAATGTCTGTTTTACGCAGGTTGTCGGTTAATCAGGATCTAGTTAAGGCAGGTTGCTCTGTGTATTTTTTTACATCTATTGTCAGTTAAGACTTGAGTCTGATCGTGATACATGACACATATGACAGTTTATGGTCTGGTTAACAATACAGCTGTGGTATTAAATGACTTCAAAAAATTACACACAGTTTTGTAAAGATAAAGAAAAACCCCGTTAAGCAACAAGTGTAGAAAAACAGGTATAAATTTAAGTCATTGTTGACAGTTCAAAACATTCAGGTTTATTTTCAGTGGGATGTTTAAATATGTGGAAAATAGAACATTGCGTACAGATTTTTTTTCCAGACAGATAACTCTGTTATGGGTGTTTAATACTGTGAGTTACGGTCCCCCGAGAATAAGTTACTTAGCTAAACATTCTTGGTATTGCAAAAAGAAATGGACATGTAAAACTATGCGAAGTATTTTGACTGTGAGTGTTTATTGAGGATGAAGAAGTTTCATTTTAAGATTGATGGATACTTTCACTGTACAATCAAAGACCTGAGCTCGTGTATAGATGTTCTTGTTAGATGTAGTCAGGTGTTGAGATCTATATTAAGTAACACATTCTCATTTATTTTATTGTGAGCTTGTGAAGATGACTCTGTTCGAGGTTTTTCCCCTGTGGTTTTGTTTGCCATACAGCTTTGATTATCTCCACATTATAAACATGTAAATGTATTACAGATGAGTTTCATTGTTTTACACTCAATTATCTAAAGAAACGTTTAAAAGCTGTCATAATGATCAAGCCCCAACACCACCAACACATCCTGCCTAGAGCTGAGCTTAAATTCCATAGGTTTTACAACGACACTTAAACTCAAACTTAATCACTTATAGACTTAATAAAGACACTTAAACTCATACTTAATCACTTATAGACTGAACAAAAACACTTAAACTCAAACTCAATCACTTATTGACTCAACAAAAACACTTAAACTCAAACTTAATCACTTATTGACTTAACAAAAAAACTTAATCACTTATAGATTTAACAAAGACACTTAAACTCAAACTTAATCACTTGTAGATTTAACAAAAACACAAACTTAATCACTTGTAGACTTAACAAACAAACTTCAGCTTAATCACTTATAGATTTAACAAAGACACTTAAACTCAAACTTGATCACTTGTAGATTTAACAAAGCCACTTAAACTCAAACTTAATCACTTGTAGACTTAACAAAAAATCTTAAGCTAAATCACTTATAGATTTAACAAAAACACTTAAACTCAAACTTAATCACATATAGACTTAACAAAGACACTTAACCTCAAACTTAATCACTTGTAGAGTTAACAAAGACACTTAAGCTCAAACTTAATCACCTATAGACTTAACAAAGACACTTAAACTCAAACTTGATCACTTGTAGATTTAACAAAGACACTTAAACTCAAACTTAGTCACTTGTAGATTTAACAAAGACACTTAAACTCAAACTTAATCACTTGTAGATTTAACAAAGACACTTAAGCTCAAACTTAATCACCTATAGACTTAACAAAGACACTTAAACTCAAACTTAATCACTTGTAGATTGAACAAAGACACTTAAACCCAAACTTAATCACTTATAGAGTTAACAGAAAATGTTAAGCTTAATCACTTATAGATTTAATAAAAACACTTAAACTCAAACTTGATCACTTGTAGATTTAACAAAGACACCTAAACTCAAACTTAATCAGTTGTAGACTTAACAAAAAATCTTAAGCTAAATCACTTATAGATTTAACAAAGACATTTAAACTCAAACTTAATCAGTTGTAGACTTAACAAAAAATCTTAAGCTTAATCACTCATCGATTTAACAAAAACACTGAAACTCAAACTTAATCACTTGTAGAGTTAACAAAGACACTTAAGCTCAAACTTAATCACTTATAGACTGAACAAAAACACTTAAACTCAAACTTGATCACTTGTAGATTTAACATAGACACTTAAACTCAAACTTAATCAGTTGTAGACTTAACAAAAAATCTTAAGCTAAATCACTTATAGATTTAGCAAAGACACTTAAACTCAACCTTAATCCCTTGTAGATTTAACAAAAACACTTAAACTCAAACTTGATCACTTGTAGATTTAACATAGACACTTAAACTCAAACATAATCACTTATAGACTTAACAAAGACACTTAAGCTCAAACTTAATCACCTATAGACTTAACAAAGACACTTAACCTCAAACTTAATCACTTGGAGATTTAACAAAGACACTTAACCTCAAACTTAATCACTTGTAGAGTTAACAAAGACACTTAAACCCAAACTTAATCACTTATAGATTGAACAAAGACACTTAAACCCAAACTTAATCACTTATAGAGTTAACAGAAAATGTTAAGCTTAATCACTTATAGATTTAACAAAAACACTAAAACTCAAACTTAATCACTTATAGACTGAACAAAAACACTTAAACTCAAACTTGATCACTTGTAGATTTAACATAGACACTTAAACTCAAACTTAGTCACTTGTAGATTTAACATAGACACTTAAACTCAAACATAATCACTTATAGACTTAACAAAGACACTTAAACCCAAACTTAATCACTTATAGATTTAACAAAAACACTAAAACTCAAACTTAATCACTTGTAGACTTAACAAAGACACTTAAACTCAAACTTAATCTGTAGTGGACTTAATACAGAGACTTAAACTTAATCTTCTATAGACTCAACAAAGAGACTTTAACTCACAAAGACTTAGCATCAAGATTTAAAATTTAAGCTAAATGTCGCAGTGGCTTACAAGTGACTTAGGACTGATGCTCAAACTCAGCTTGAGGTGAACTCAAACTGTTAGTGACACTACAGCTTATTCTTTGTAAGAATGAATATATAAAGTATAACGGTATACACACCTATTTACTGGTTAATATGTTAAAGTGCTATTCACAGCAATTAGGAAACATGCGAGCAATTATAAGTGATAATATATAATCACTGGTATACCTGTATGTTATATATGAACGTAGCATTAAATTGTGAAGGATGTAACTTGGAAATAGTTGCTAACAGCAGCTGTAATTTCTAAACCAACATCTTGATCACTATATTGTTTGTGTTCAACAGAATTCCCTGTTCTTGTTTTCCTGTAGATTATGGGCATTGGTGCCCTGGCGGTGGGGATCTGGCTCCTTGTGACTGACTTCAGTGCTCGTGAAGTTTCCGTGGTGATAGATTCCAACCTGTTTGAGATTGGGACGTACTTAATACTGGCTGGAGGAGGGATGATAGCTCTCCTCGCCTTCTGTGGCTGCTGTGGGACAATGAGAGAGGACCGCTGTATTCTCGGATTTGTAAGTTACAGTTTCTGTGATATTTAGAACTGTTGTCACTTCATTGAGCCGTTTGTTTGAAAATTCTTTATGATGTGCTTTTGTACATACCCTGCCCAACCCCACCCCACCCCCACCCCCAGTCTGTTACCTCCTTACATTAAACAAAACACACTAAAAACAATGCTTAAAACCCCCCACAAACCTTTAAATTCTCCTCAAATGTTGGTATGTGACCATACTGACACAATATTTTAACAAATTAAGGAAAAACACCAAGTACTGGTCTACATTTTACGACCTTGAGCAATATCCTGTTCTGTAGTGCTGATGATATCAATGAAAATATTTATAGAAAACGAGAAAGACATGAAAAATGTTCTGGCAGAAAATTAAATCGATATACCGGGTACCGGGTTACATCAGATAGGTACCGGGTTACATCAGATAGGTATCATCAGATAGGTATACTGCTGGTTTGTCTTTTTTTTTTTTTTTTTTTTTTTTTTTTTTTTAATTGGGGGGGGGTTTTTTTTTTTTTTTTTTTTTTTTTTTTTAAATGTGGATGGGTTTTCTGTTTCTTATCTATATGTAAATATCATAACCTTGGCTATTCATATCACTTTTAGAGATCAGGAATGCTTTTAAAGACAGAAGAAAATAGAACATAAATGTAATCAACTCAGCTTTGAAAATTGTTTTATCGATTTGAAACAAACTATAGAAACATTGATAAAATCAAAGATATACCCCGTTTTACTGTGGAACTAAACCTTTACTATAGAACTAAATCATCATTTGGAGAACATTACGTATTGATCATCCCTCAAAGTTTAATGGAACTTAATCCTGATACAATTTGCGCTCTCCGTTTGTTGAATAAATTGGAAAAGCTAAATCGTCCTTACAATACACTGGAAAGCCTTATCTGATTGGCTCTTTTATCGTTGATGTCATCAAAGAATATTCGAAATTGTGGTTTTTACTCTAATCTAGACCGTTGCACATGAAATAATCGTAAAAATGGGTAATATCATAATCACTGTCTGTCAGATGACGGGGATAATATCGGTCGTTTGTTATCCCACGTAATTCCTTGTTTTGTCGATCTTGGAATAATCAATGTTGGTGTTTATTCGGACACTGGTGAAAGCTACCCCCCGGAGTACATACATCAGAGAAAATCAATGTCGTGGAAAAGGAAATCTTTTAGCATTTCTTTTATGAAGGATTTAATAATGTATTCTCTTGTTTGTTCAGAAAGACATTTGGAGGGTTTCTCTTTGAAAAGGGAACCAATTTAACAGCCAGGTAATTTGCACAACCCCAATTTTGAAATTTGATTTAAACACAATAAACTGTACGGATTACTCCCGATTTACCGATTTAATGGCAATGTGTCCTGTGCTGACTAGATAGACACTTTTTGAATACATAAAGCAGTTATCAAGAAAGAGCAGTTTAGAAAACCTGTAACTTTGTAGGCATTTGGATGATACATTACAATGTAAAATCAAAATTGGTTTAAGATATTATTCAGAGAATCACTTGCCTCAGATACACATGTAGTCAATTTTAGGTTTGTGCTAAGGTTTTACACAATTGCTCTGGGCAGTTTCTCCTTTTATAAATGTTCAAAATGTCCATTTCAATGAAATTTCAGTTAGGCCAAGTACATGTTTTTCATAATGCTGTCTTGCTCAAAGCATGCTTTGAACATTTTCACATCAATATAATATTTTTATCCTCCATTGAAATATTTCCTTATAAAATATTATCCATCTACCTTTTTAAAAAGGATAAAGGTTCTCTAGTACACTAGTGAATCTGATTTTTACCTGTGTGACCTTAGAGACAGACCAGTATACAACATCAATGACACAGAACAATGTGTGTGTCAGAGACCTTGGCCATTGTGAAGCTCGGACAAAACATTTTCCAGATTGATCAACTGGTAAACTTGTAGGTATGCAGGAGAAAGGCAGCACTGGTAGGAGTGATTATTATAGGCATGTAGGAACCAATGGACCATCTGGAGTCCTGTGCCAGTAGGGACGCTCAGAATACAACTACAGTGAGAGTGATGTTGGTATGTCGACTCTCCGATATATTGTATAGGCTGATACTTGGGAGTGACAACAACGCTTGGGAACATTCCCTCCTCCATACACCTGCTGTTCTGTTTGGAGCAGAAATTAGTAACAGTTCACAAGCAAATGATTCATAAACCTTGATTAAGCGCGTGCGTCCTGTCAGGACCCTTAATCAAGACTGATGAGTCAGTTTCTGGCAGTGGAACAGTCACCTCGAAAAAAACACTTGACCTTTTAGGATCTGTATACTCTGCCAGGATTATACAAACTCTAGGCGCCCTCAAAGTACCACTGACTTTTAGGATCTGTACTCTGCCAGGATTAAAAAAACTCTAGGCACCCTCAAAGTACCACTGACTTTTAGGATCTGTACTGTCCCAGGATTATAGGAACACTAGGCGCCCTCAAAGTACCACTGACTTTTAGGATCTGTACTGTCCCAGGATTATAGGTACTCTAGGCGCCCTCAAAGTACCACTGACTTTTAGGATCTTTACTCTCCCAGGATTATAGGAACTCTAGGCGCCCTCAAAGAACCACTGACTTTTATTTAAAATTTATTTAAAATTAGACACAGTGTTTCCCCAAAACAGCTCCAGTTTGAAAAACCTGTGAAGAATGGTATTTATGAAGGGGAAAGTTTGGTTTGGATAATTAATTGATGACTTAATTTTGAGACATATATTACACCAGAATTTTTGCACTAATCATTAAAGATGAAATAATGAATTGATAGAAATGCTTATTAAAGGAGTAAGGATAGGTGACACTAATCATTTGACTTGTAGTTGTAATGTCTAAAGCTGTATATACATATGTAGGTGAAAGACATTTCCAGAAACAAGCTGTTTGACTCCGAAATACAGTAAAATTAGAAAATGAACCATGTTTCCATGTTGCCCCAACTAGGTATCATATCACAAAAGGTTTGTAATCTCCAACATAATAATAATAATCCCTTTTATTATTTTTGAAATGATATGATCGTAAAAGACGTTTGAGTTCGAATTTCAATCCCCACAAAAGGTAAAACTTGAGCATCTGGGTTAGATTATTATAACATATTACCAAACATTTTTTGTCCCAAAATTGTGAAGATAATTCCTGTGTGTGACAGGTTTACAGTGGGAATGCAAAACAGTGGGAATGCTTTTGTTTTTTTGGAATAAATTATCTTGAGTGTTTATAAATAAACATTTTGTTAAGAAATTCGGTTTTTGTAACCACTTTAGATTATACCAGCCTAATAAACATATTTCTCTGTAAATATCTTTTCTAGTCCTGCTGTTTGTGAGTAAACACTGTTATCTAAACAGGAATGAAAAAAGATCCCCTCCGACTCCCGCGGAATGAGTAAATAAACATGGTAATGTAGTCCTCTTGTAATGTGGTTACAGCGGTAAATCTGTGGTAATGCCTGTAGAAACAGGAAAGGGGATGTCTTTATGGGGTCCCTTGGGATTTACTGCTTCGGTATTGACTCAAAGAATGTTGAGCAGTAGTCGTGAATGTGTGTTATCAACTGATAATCAGTATTAATAGGCAATTCACCGTAGGAATCATGGTCATCCAATTCTAATGCATGCATTTGTGAAGTAATCACCAAACTGTGGGCAAAAAATCGTGTGATACCATAGATGTTCTCTACTTCGAAGGTGACAATTAGTGGTCAGTGGCATTTTAGATTTATAAAAAATTGTCTGTTAAAACGAAATTTAGTATTTTGTTTGAAATTTGAAAGGATCGTTTTTAATGTAAAATATAAATGAAATGAAAGAATTCACGGGAAAAACAGCAAAAGACAGCTGTTATTATTTATATGTTCATGCTGGAGATTGTAGACCTTTACCGTGATTTAGAGAGACAAATTCTTGTCCTTGTAGGCTGACCATCTGATGCTAATTAAGTCTATGTCCACTGACGGATCCTTACTAGGCTGTGTAGAATATTCGCAGATGAAAAAGTAATTTCGTAACGCGGTATTAAATTGATCGACTCTGGTTAATCTCACATTGTCCGCTGAATAGGTTAGAGAGTATGTAACAAGCTGATTTAGAGAGTATGTAACAAGCTGATTTAGAGAGTATGCGACAGACTGAACGGGTTACAGACCGTTCCTTATTTAGTCTTGTACCAGGTTACTTGAGGACTAATTAAAAGGGATCATCCCTTATAACATTCTGTCTCATAGATTAGCTTTTTCACATTTTAGAATTATTTTAAATAAGTACTTGACCTAAATTAATCACATTTGTAAAAGATTTGACAAGGGAATTAAACTCATGCTCTGAATTGTTGTAATGTTGAAGCAAAACCACCTTGTGTGGCTCTAGCAGGGTTCAATGGGAGAAATATTTGTTCTAAAAGTTCCAAAGATGTCAGATAAACTGCATCTTTGGCATTTGTATTTAAAAGTTATTAAAAGACTGACCCTGTGGTAATCAGACTGGAAAATGTCCACAGGTCAGATTTAACTGTAACATCCAGGATCCAGCTAGCTTAATCAAGCTGTTTAAGCTTTATTTGTTAATAAAATTTACAAATTCAATTTTTGTTTGACAAATGTGTACATTTTATAGTGAGGAATAAACTTTATTTTCAATTTAAACAATGTCAGCAATAAAATATGACTTACTGTGCAATAAAGCTTACCATGCCAGATACATAGAACATAGCCTTTGGGGTTGTGAAATAGAAGGCTATAGAGTCACATTAAAGGGGCCTCATTTAGGGACTGTTTAAACTTGGATTGTAATGCCTGCATGTATGATTGATATGAAGTCTTCTGTAAAGCTACAATTTCTAATCCTTGTCCTATTTAAATGACAAATACGAATCTGTGATGGCCCCAAGACACACATAAAGATTACTGTTTAAAGATGTTGGCTTCAAAATATGTTTACATTTTATATAAGCTGTGTCTATACA